CTTTATTCCCTTCAAATATTCATTCTTTTCTCTCTGCACGCATCCTTTTCTGCTTTCCATGTGATGAATTTTCCTTTGTTTCCATTCCTCATCTTTATTATATTCCTTCTTTTCACGTCTTATTTCCAAACTTGTCACCTCTCCGGCGTCAAGTTTGCGGGGGAGTGTTAGGGGGTTACGGGAGTTACCATAGTTAAGGGTCTTCAATGACAATACATTAGTGTTTTAGCTGTTATGTTGTTATTAGCCTTTATTAGAATATAATGGGCTTTCCGTTTCATTGTAACCACTAGGAAGATATCTTATAGTTTGTGTATAAATATTGGTTGTAATATCTCAAATATAATAATTGAATATACAGTTTCTACATGTACAAGGGTTTCGGGTTTGGGTTATGTTGATTTAACTCAAGTGTATCTTATACTGTTAGTATTCTCATAGTGAAGTATTCTATTCGGGGATGTAGGCATGATTTTGCCAAACCTTGTCAATCTCTTGTGCACTATTTTTATTTCTTATTTATATTATTCCCATCCAAGTGTAGTTTATATTATGGTGTGGTTAATTATGAATTTCACAGTAAAAAAGCACAACACAAGTTATACAACGTGACTGTACTCTCGTACTACATTATAACTACTCGCAAGTAGGGCCAATTTCATCATCATCTCCCCAATTTGGAGCAAAATTAGGCAAAGCAAAAGCCACATTCAACACGTGGGCTCCAGTTTGCCAGATAAGTTGCCAAATTTGATTGGCTCAATTGTGCAAATTTATCAAAATATTCACGTAACGTCATCAAAATTAATAGATTTTTGGATGAAGTTGAGGGTAGGTAATAAAATGGTTGGTCAGGTAGGAGAGTAAAATGGATCACTTAGTTTCAAAGGGACTACAGTAAATAATGAAATAAAACTTCCAATAAACCGCGTCAGAAGTGTGATATTTGTCAAGTCGCAGCTGTCGCAAGTGTTGGAGAATTAAGAACCGACGTGGAAGGGAGGGAGTTGAAGACAACCATGGATACGTACGCAAAGGTTTAAGGTCCGTCCGTGTAAAATTTCGGTCCTTTCCGTGTTGACGAATAGACTGACAGGTGGCTACCTGTGAAGTAATCAATGCCCAAACAGCCATTCGTAGTAGGCTATATATACATACAGAACAAATAGTCACACCACTTTTCACACTCTAAGCTAACCTGCAAAACCACAGGCTCTCTCGCTCTCTCTCTCACGCTGTTACGTACAAACACAACACAGCAATCTGTATCGGGTTCTTCTTTTCCTTTGAGGAAACACAAATTAAGGTACACACAGAATTGGAGTTGTTGCCAATTTTTCTTGCAAATCACTATAGGTCTAGCTGCTGCTACTTTGTCTTTGGAATTGTGAATGAGAAATGAAGTTTTGTTGTTGTTGCTTTTACTTGATGCGAGGCAGAAGCTTTGCCTATATTTTTGTATTCATCTTGGTTTGTTTACTTACTGGTTTCACAATTTAAGCACACAATTAGATAGTTGAGTAAGTACAGATCCTTAATTCCTGACTATTCAAGTGCACTGTCTCTCTCTTGAATCTGTAAATGGCTTCTTTTTCTTCTTCTTTCTTTTATCAGTTTAGTTTGATTTTATCAAATTATTTACTTACTTGTATAGTGGGAATGTAGAGAAAAAGTTATAAAATACTTTACGTATTCTGTACTCAAACCGTTGTTTAGAAAAATATATAGCAGTGAAGGACCAAAAAGGTTTCCTTCAGTCAAGTTTCAGGTGATCAAAATGTGTTTTGTGTTGAAAATAAAAAATAAAAGTTAATTTGGAAGAAACCCCCTAATGTTCAAAGAATATAGGCTATAACAAAATCAACTGAAATTAATCTCTCCAAGACATACATACGACTGTCATCGAATACGGCTTTCCAAGGGATTCTAATGCTTTTGCTAAGATATTTTGTAGACTAGACAAGCCTCAAAATTCCTGTTTGTAGCAAACTTGGATAGAGTGATAGTTTTTCCTCAGAACCAATCATATCACAGTAGATGAAAGAATCCCCTTTTATCTGGGGAGAGCCTTACTTTTACTTTCAGGAACTAGTGTGTGCAACAAAGCAGAATTTTATGAGGTCTATGGTCTATAATCCAATCTTGCAGTCCTACCGAATTTCACATCTTTGAAATTTTTCATTGCTTGAGATCCATCTTCCATACCTTTTCAAGTTGTCAGTTTTGCACACCAAAATTGATAGTCAGTCTATAGTAATATTCTAGGAACTATATACTAAAAAGACGAGACATTTGATATAACTTTCTAGCAGTGATCAGTCAAAACTGCATATTTTGAAGCTTAAATATATATTTTAATTAGTACATGTGTATAGCCTCTTTGTCTCGTTTTTGCTTGCCACAAAAGATATGCATAACCTTTTCCCACATCCATAAGCTCTTTGGAAGGCTCTTTGGGTCGATTTTTCATGAGGATTGAAGAAAGGAATATAAGTTTCATTCGCTTGCATTTTTTTAGTAAAACATGTAGATGAAATATTTGTAATCTTCCAATTGTTTAAGCATTGGCTGTGATGTGCTGACTACAGAGCTCTAAACCTAAACAATTTATTCTTATTTAGGCAAACACAATGGCTTTTCTTGTTCTTGTTAATTATGAGATTTTATAATTCACCAAGTATTAGGATTTTCATATTCTACTGCATTTGTTCTCAGATTACTCGTCTTACATTTACATTTGTTTTGGGTAATCTCAGGTCCAGAGGAAACAGTTTTACGTTTAAAATTTTAGGATATAATCTGGTGATGGAAGACAAAATTGAACATACAGGGGAAGAAAGGGTTGAAAAGGAAGAATCCCATGTAGTGATCAAGACCAAGGATGCACAACCAGGTGACTTAAAGAAGGAGAAGGCTGAGGTGGAACTTGAATTAAAGACCAAGTCAGTGGTAAAAGAGAAGCCAAAATATAAAAAGGATGAGGAGGAATCAAAGAAGAAGGAGAAAGACATAACCAAGAAGGAAAAGAAGAAAGAAAACAACAGTGGCAAAGGGAAGGACGAGGAAGAGAAAGAGAGCAAGGGGGATAAAAAGAAGGACAAGGAAGAGAAGAAGAAGAAAAAGGAGAAGAACAAAGATATTATAGGCTCAGAAGATAAAGAAGATGATAGAGAGGGGGAAGAAAAAGATAAAAAGAAGAAAAATAAAAAAGAGAAGAAGGAAAAGGGTAAAGATTTAGACGAAGGGGAAGAAGAGATTGAAGGCAAGGATGATTATAAACACAAAGAGAAAGATATGGATGAAAAAGAGTCGAAGAAGGATAAGGTCAAGGTGAAAGAAGATGAAGAGAAAAGGAAGGACACAGATAAAAAAGAGGATGTGGATAATGTGGATGAGGAAAAAGAAGGGAATAAGAAGAAGAAGAAAGAGAAGAAAGGGAAGGGACATGAGAATGATGATGATGGAACAGAGAAGAAAAATGATGAGGAAAAGGTTGATGACATTAAAAAAGAAGGGGAGAAGAAGAAAGATGTGGAGGACAAAAAGAAGAAACACAAGGGTGATGATGATGAGAAGGAGAAGAAAAAGGATGAGGAAAAAGACGATGACAACAAAAAAGAAGGGAAGAAGCAGAAAGATGTGGAGGAGAAAAAAAAGAAACACAAGGGTGATGATGATGAGAAGGAGAAGAAAAAGGAGGAGGAAAAAGACAATGACAGCAAAAAAGAAGGGAAGAAGAAGAAACACAAAGATGATAAAAAGAAGAAACACAAGGGTGATGATGATGGGAACGAGAAGAAGAAGGACGAGAAAAAAGAAGAGAAAATAGACAAGAAGGAGAGAAAGGAGAAACACAATAATGTAGATGATGAGGAAAAGACCAAGGTTGAAGTTACTTCTAGGGAGATTGAAATAGAAGAACATGTCAAGGAATCAGAGGGTGAAATGGAGGAACACAGCCAGAAAGATGAAGTAAAGGAAGGTAAAGAGAAGAAAGACAAAGATAAAAAGGAGAAGGGCGAGAAGAAAAGAAAAGTTGATAAGAAGGACAAGTCCAAGGATGTTGGAAAGTTGAAACAGAAGCTAGAGAAGATTAATGGCAAAATAGAAGCCCTTTGTGAAACAAAATTAGACATCACGAGGCAGATAAAAGAAGCTGAAGGTGAAAGTCTCACTCTTGCTGAAAAGCCCACAGATGCGGCACTGGCGGCTACTGATGCAGCATAAAACCTCTGTGGTAGTGCATTTCAGCTCTCCGTGGTCCATGCTTTGCAATCTATGTTTTATCTATATGTTGTGTGAATAAAGCGTGTTAACAGTAATGAATAAAACTAATCTGTTATGTTTTATTTACATGTGGAAGCTAATGTTTGTATGAAACTAAGATTACAACAACCTCCCATTCTGGTGAGTGTTTGTTAGGGTACTGCAAATAATGGTAAGCTGTAGCAAGCAAGTTTGCATGAGTAACAATTAACAACAATGCGATGACAGATACGTGGTTTAAGTTACTGCGAGTTTTGGTTTGTTTAAACAATTATTTAGGACTCTCTCGGAACTTTCTTTATGAAATTAAAGTTGGATTTAATTTTGTTTCTTCTAAGGAATCATGCAGTTACTCCGATTTGTATTTTTACCTTTTTACATGCGAGTGCTTCAACTTTGTGCTGTTAAAGATAACTAGCTCTAGTTGAAGACGTGCTCGAAATTTTGAGCTGTCAATATTCTTTATTGGGTAAATATTTGTGCAAGTACCAAATATCAACATAGAAGCTCATCCGTAAATTTCCAAAGCTTGATCACTTAACCATGGAGATGCTGCACCACTATTCACTACAAAACAACATAAAGCTTCAAAGTAATTCATGCCCGTGAAAAAGGAGAAACAACCAAGATTCCACTGAAATGCGGCATCCAACTTCAACCGCGTATGAACAAACCATTGTGACTTGCTGTCAAAGCAAAGCTCATTTTGACAGGAAATGAAACCAACAAAAGAATCAATTTCCAATAAAAATTTAACAAAAGATCCGCAGTGAATCATCCAGGTACTTGTCATTTGTTCTCTATATTAAAAAAAAAAAAAGAATAAATATTACACAGGTGGCTTATCTAACATGTAGTCCTATGGTTGAAAAGCTTCAATATGGCTAAAAAGGTGTACAAACTCTGATCAGCTTACCCCAAGTTCATTGATCTTACCCGATCCTCATTTCGCAGTAAGCTACACAAATAACTCCTGTTGTTATAGTAAACCCAAGAATCGACCCAAAGAATATGTTTGAATACCTATACCTCTCCAAATGGCAAAGTTGGAACCGGGAATCAAACCTTAGTATTACTCTACCTCCAAAACTTTTCCATTTCAGAAGAAAATGATGGAAACTGAATGCCGCCTTACAGTAAAAAGAACTTGTATCATATGGAAATCCAATTTTAGTCATTTGGGTCCATTTCATCATCCTGATCAAAGACTAGACTTGTATTAGTTCTGTCACTGTCAATTGATTCTGGTTGCTCAACCAGAGTACTTCCGTACTCTGACAATTCATTGTCCTCCACTTTATCCTCTTCCCCAGCCGATTCCAAAGGAACTTCCTGACCATGCTGCATCCACTTGGGGCACTCTTCTTCGCCTCCATGCACACTTCGTCCGTCATTACCTTTTACATGAACTGGAACCTCAGCAGAAGATATTCTACAAGAGCATTCGGGGAGTGGGTGTGAAATGAATACGCCTGGCTTCGACAAAAGGGATTGCCTTATTAGGCCTTCCTCACCCAAGCTTTTCTTAAGATGTTCCTGCACCGAGAGTGTCCAATTATGCTTGGGATGGTATACATTGCCCCTGGTCATGTTGAAAAGCTCTGCTACAACTTTCCTGTTCGAAAAGAGCACATACAAAGTCAAATGAGAATATTTATCACACAAAGTCAAAAAATAAAATTCTTGTTTTTTCTATTACATACAAACAAGAATTATTTGTTAAACAAGAGCTCTTCCTAGAAGTAAAAAGCAGACAATTTTTAACCTTTTGCAACCAATAATCTTATGGAAATGGTTAAACATCAGCACAGGCTCTCTGAAAACTATTATTTTATTAAAGAGAATCAGCTAACTATTCAAGAAAGTAGAAAGTTAATATAGCACTTCAAAGCGGAAGCGAACACGTATATTTCAATATATTGCTTTAATGAGGTCGCACGTATTTCCCAGACCCACACCCCGACAAATATATGTCCATCTGTGTGCATGAATATACACACAATTGAGCACGCAGATATGCCCCATGTAGTACATGATATTGCAAAGGAAAAAACATTTTGTGTTCACCATATTATCCTTTTAAAAAAAACAAAAACAAGAGGTCCAAAACCATGTATGCAAACCAACAACTTTCAATAAATCCTCACAATTACCTATCAAAAAACTAAATAAAGAAGTAAATTCTTCAAATGTACGAATAGAAGTATACTATTAACCAATCACCATCAAACCATTCTTTCCCTTCTCCACCAACCCAAACCCACCACCAGTGGCCTTTTAGGATTCAAATGAACTTAGGGCATTGTAGAATAAATTAAGCTAAATTAACCCAAAATCCTTCATATGCCATTTGAAACATTGACTAAATCAATTTTAATGGGTCATTCACACTTCATGAAATTACTTTCAAGTCCATCTAATCATACCTGTCTGGTCGGTATGTTCTAGAAGAAGCAGTCTCATACAAACGATGTCCCATAACCAAGCTTGAAAAATCCGGCCATCCACTGCCATCGTTACTAAAGCCAGGAAAGAATGTGTCTGCTTCCACGGAGACAATATAGTCAAGAGCATCCCAAATTAGTCTATGTGCTTGCATCCTTAGATCCACAGCTGAAAGGTCTGGTTCGGTGGCAGTCTCAGTAATCCAACCATACCAGCCTTCTTTTTCATGTTGATAGATAGGTCTACCAGGAGGTGGAGGAAGAGGCCGAGGCCTAGGACCAGCCTTCTTCCATTCTTCTTTAAGTTGTGCCTCACTTTTTGCTGGAGGTGGTTGAAAAGGATTTAGAGGAAGAGGTGTTTCAGGTCCAAGTATATCCAACAATTCTTTATTGCTGCACAAAGAAGTGCGATCCACTAAGTTGGGAAACATGGCACGCAAAGGGACCAGAACACGTTGACCCCCAAATGTTTCAGAACCAGCCAAATATACAATTGTTTTAGGAGGATACCCCATTGCACGAAGAAGAATTCCAACCTGTGAAAGTTCCAATAAGAATAAATGAGCTAATGCACCAGCAGAAATTTTACCTTCAAACTTGGTTCATACATATTTACACCTAAAAGAATCATTCTTTATTCTTTACACATAAGTGACGTCAAATGTAGATTTAGTCAAGTTAACTAAGTAGGCTGATTTATCAATTAATAAGTCCTTACATTGTACTTTATAAGTTATAAGATGATTCATTGATGCACCTTTAGCAAATAAAAGATCACATTATATAGCATGTATACAAAATTGTAATATTTAAATATATATATATATATATATCAAATTTATTCTATGTTTCCTTGTAACAAGCTTGCTCACAGACGTATGGAGTTGGGCTTCTCTATTAATCAAGGCAAGAAATACAGGCTTGAGGTTGCTTTCACAATTATACAAAGGAAAATATGCAAGGTTGTTTTCAAGTCGGCCGCGTTATTTATGAACACCCTTGTTTGTTTTCAGTACTATTTACAATGTAGAAAGAAGACAGTGCATTTCATTAGCAAACCCGAACTCTAGTTGTATTTCTTCCCCACACATTTTTTTTCTATTTTTCCTTTTTCTTTTTTTAAATTTATAAAAAAAATAAAAAAAAAATAAAAAAGGCATTCTGTGAAGGTGATGACCCAATTAGGGCCAGCCAACTAGGTAATCTAGGAATCACAGTGACCAAAATTCACATTTTAAGTGGATATCTTTAAAAAGGATCATTTCTAATTCTTATTCACTGTCTATTCCATCATTTTCCCCTTCGAAAATAAAATTTTGCAAGTAAAAATATTTTTTATTTTTTATTTTTATTTTTTTATAATTATAATAAGATAGGGTTCAATTAACTAGTGCTAAAGTCATTCCATCCTCTATTTTTGTTTTTTGGCCTGCATTCTCTACTTATCAAACATATAACGCAGAACTTTTTGGAAATACAAATTCACTCCAGATATTAGTATTTAAAATTAAGGATGGAATTGATGAAAGGATGCTTGAGGTTCTGCTTTTGCTGAACTCCTGAAATCAATTCCGAATTAGGTGCCTAGAAACTTAAAATCACAATCAGCAAAGAAGTTCACTACTAATATGTAAGAATTCCTATGGGACTGTAAAAAAAATTAAAAAAATCAAGAAAAACCAGGGAAAGGAAACACCACTACACAATACAACAGTGCTTACATAAACATACACTGGATATGAAAGTTAGAACTGAGCTTACCTCTTCAGGCATCAGAGGGCATGAACCATTTTCTCTACGCAAGTGTGAGTCTATGCTTAGTTCCTCATGAACAATGCCCCGTTTAATCATTTGTGCCCTTCGATATTGTATGAGTTCAGTGTGAACATCCTACACAAATTTACCAAGTTAACATGATAACTTTGATAACCATGAAAGTGAATGAATAAGCTGTTTAGATTTTGGAGTTATTTTAAGGTGGAATCACTTTTACCCGCAGGGAGGGGTAGAGGGCTCTGAAACAGAATTTATATTGGAATTAAATCTAACCAAGGAACAAAATACAACAATTTGTTTACCACTAACTTCGACTTCAGAGGCAGAAATATGGAAAGTTTTATACCCGACAGCTTAAGCTGGTAGGACGTGGGACAATAATTATGTTTAAGTTGGAACACCCCCTCACATGTGGACCTCTTTCAATCACTGAAGGCCAACATGTGGAAGCAATTGCAGGGATTTGAACTCCTGCTCTGATACCATGATAAAGTTTCCCGAAATATTAAGCTATTAGCATGTGGATCAACAATTTTTTTATTTTCTCACAAATATAAAAGATAGACAGGCTTAAACATCGTACCTGAAAAAGTTCAGCGCAACCATGATACGCCAAGGTTTCTCTCAATAAACCAGGATGAAATGCTAGAAAAGGTTGGCCCCATGCACGTAACCTATGGAAATATAGTATAAAACCAACATTGATCAACTGAAGGCAAATAGTTCTTAGAGCAATTCTAGTCTAAGTACTACCCGAAGGATATAACCACACTACCAGATATTTAGTTTTACCCATGCTTTTTGCTTGTTTTTGGAGTCAGTACATAATACTTACTAGAAAGTTCAGGAGATGAGCTGTAAAATTATGCCATGCAAATATCATTATTGGTCAAGCTGCGTTATTAGAACCTTGTGTGTGGTCTTTGGTAGTTTTGATGTAGAAGAGCAAGGGAAGGATTAGATGAATTCGTTCAGGTTAAAAGTATGAGTGGCAGATGGTAGAAAGTTTAGAAATAACCAAAACATAAGAATCACTAGAGTAGAAGTTAGGAATATATGTACTAGTTTAGAACAAGGATGGCAGACTTATATGCTCTATATGAGGTTTGACCATGAGAACTAGTCTCCAGAGAGCATACATGCTTTCTAGAAAATTTTGTTATATCTTCAATATTGAAAATGGGCCTAAGTCTCATATCTTATGGTAGCTCCAAAATATGTGTTAGCAGTAGTCATTCTTGAGTTTATAAGGATCTGTATGCCTTGTTCGAAGTGTCTTGAACATACTCTTGGGATAGTGTTCCAACTGAATTCATACCCTCAAACGAATTCAACTTACAGTCAATTTTCTAGCTCCCATTTTCACGATGTCTGACCCGAAGGACATCGTATGATGAGGCAACCATACAATATTTGAAAGCATCTAGAGATCATGATGATGTAGAGAACATCTCCCATGATCAGATCGTTTCTACCAGTAATGGAGGATATAATCAAATGGAGACAGCGACCACCTTAAGCTTGTACTTGGAACGCATAATCAGAGAAGCAACAGCTTAATTCAGATTTCTATGAGGAACACCAAAGTCTTGACTCGCCAGATCCAAATTTTGTTGAACCAGGGAGAACCCCTTTGAAAGTGTATAAGCAAACAAAGAAGAAACTTATTCCTCAGCCCAGTACTGTAAATTGGTGGGATCAAGTTGCAGTAGGACCTAGTATGGCACAGAATAATTTTGCTGATTTTTTTTCAGTAAAAACATAATGTTGAAGAGTCACAAGAAGTCTAGAGGTCCAGATTCTTAAATTAAGTCTAAGAGTCTTATGTACCAGGAAATTTAATTATGTTCATGCTTGTGAATACTATAAGTCATTGGGAGACTAAAATAAGAGGTTAAAATAAAACTTATGACTTCAAGTAATGTGTGGCAGGATAAAGTCATGGGTTACACATCCATATAAAGCATGTAAGTCTGTGGTTTGTTGAATAGTATTTACAGAAAAATCTACTTCTTGTGACTAATTCAAAAATCTAGAGAGGCTAAAAGGCCTTGTTTCACAAATAAGAGAGATTCTAGCTCCTAGTGCGATTCAAGTAGTTTTAAACTTGTTCGTCTAACTTTCTCCTTTATTTTATGATTATTTCTACATTTTCCAGCATCTGCCACTCTTGTTCACTTAAACATGTTCCTTTTCTGAAGTCTTTTAGTCCCAAAAGGAAATACTATACTAATTCGGAACCACGAATGCCAGGAGCCTACAACACTTCTGCCAAAACTTTGAAGGATTATCGTAGAAAGTCTGAATATTTTATATAAAACAAAAGGATTTTAACAAAATTATTATAGAAAATTTCAGGCAGCCTTTGAAGCTCTTTAAGACAATGATGCGTTCACTTTGCCTGTCTAGAAAACCCAGGCATAACCACCAAGGATTATACTTTCAATTTTCATATTTCGTGCATATTTATATCTTATTTGCCAGAAAGCCATACCTAACATGTATTGGTTCAATTCCCTAATCCCATAACCTTATCCCTCCAGTCTAGCCGTTACTATGCGTAATTCCAACCCGCCCATAACCTTCAAATAAAAAATTCATTTTATTGTCTAAGAGCAGTCTGTACCAATCAAGTTCCCTAAACACCTATATCGCTCAATCGATACAAATCTTAGCCAAAAAAAAAGTGGGTTGGTAGATTCATACCTCTCCACCATACGGTGACCAAGAATTTGAATTTCTGGCCTGAATTGAAGTGCATGGAAAGCAACCCTGCATCTAAGCCTTTGAAGCTCTGCCATGCCTGGTGGAAGGATTGACTGAAAAGAGGATTTTATTATTTCAAGAATACTTAAAACTCAATTGTCAAGCATGCAAGCTGAGAATGCAGAAATCGATAAAGCAAAAAAGAAAGGAAAAGACACTGGCTACTGACAACCATATCAATGATCATGAGAGAAAAGAATGGTCTCTCTGGACCAATAGCAAAGCGGAAGAAAAATTTCAATCAGGCCAACAGAGTGTAAAAATGATAGATCATGCCCACATGTATCAACTAATGGAGCTAAGATCCTCATGATGGCACCTTTTCATATAAATTTTTTTATATACTACAGAACACATATTTTAAATGCACCTAGGGTAATACAGAGAATAATCATGTTATTATTGATTATAAACAGTGTAATCATCCAAGGGGCAGCGAAAGTCTAATAAAATAGTGCTAACTAAGTTCCTGAGGCAATTCAAAAATAAATAAACTAAAACTCCTGTGGCCTTCCTGTTCTGTTACTCACCTCATCTTAAAGTAGTGTAGTGGAACATCAACATCAGATCTAGTGTAGTTATAGTAACTGATTTTTTTGGAATTTCTTTTTCTTCACAAAAAATATTCATAGTTGACAGCTCTAGGGCACAAAAGAATACATGGTTATCAACGTTAATAGAACATGTATGCTTCCTCAAGAAGATGACTTTTTTTCAATAGCTAAGTATATTATTAATAATAGTAGAACAATGACTACCTGCAGACATCCACCATCAGCAATAACCAAGCCAATAACCTTGGCTTTCTTTAACTTTGGTAGAACTTCTTTAATATAAAACTTAGGAGAAGCTGAATTCTTGGGTCTAAAAGAAGGGTATTCATTCCTTTTCCTTGCTGCCTTCAAATTGTCTGGCAGGCTCTTCACAATGATTACATCATTTTTAAGAGATGCAATAAACTGCTCCTCGTCGTAGAGATATGTAAAACTCTTGAAACGATGGCTGACAAAGTTAGAGCAAAAAAATGGTAAGAAGAAATGAACTATATGATCTACTATTACAGAAAATTGGCATTTGAAAAAAAACACTAAGCAAGCTAGAATAAGAACCTGATGCCTTTTGAGCGAGTACTTTCTTGAATGTCTGGAATGACAAGAGTAGCATTTAGAAGCCTGGATATGGTGACCAGATCACAGATCTAGAAAATTAACAAAGATTTATGAACACCATATGCAAACTATCATGGAATTACTTTGACACATTTGACAAATCGTACCGTAGATCTTATCTTTGAAAATCCACCAAATATTTTCGCATAAATGAAGCCATTGCTCTGTTCATTTGGAACTGTAAAGAAAATAAAAGTAATCAATCAGCTTAAAAATTAACGGTTGAAGCTCAGCAAACCCTCCAGTGACAAGCAAGAACAAAGAAAGATGGAATTCAATTAAAAGTCAGAATGCCAAGGATATCGGTTTGTTGAAAAGGATTAACTATTGCAGTTCTCAAGATCTTGGACAGGTGACAGAAGCATCGCGACTACAAAATGTGTTGTTTCATGGATGCAACGTAACCGATTTGTCAATTTACCATTGTAAGTGTCTCATGGACACCTCCTACTTAAATACCAAAATTGGTCGCAAAAACAAGTCATCTAGGTCCTATCTCCTAACTGTCAAATTCTTAAACTATTTCATACAAGATTATGAAAACCCAGCAACGAAATAAATGAGAAAACACACAAATGGAAGAATAAGAGCAAAATCATCACCAGGATAGTTGCTCCTGGGGTTGGCATAAGGCTGCAAAGACTGCAAGGGCTTTACAGGTTCCCATAGCTTCTTATTAGGAATACTCTGCCAGATTGTAACAAAGAAAACAAACCCATCATTAAACAACCCAAAACACACACTCAAAACACCTGCATACACACACACAAATTAATCAAATCCCACCTGTCTCCCGGATAGGGTATCGAAATCGTTATGGAATGCAGTCAATGCACTATACTGGACTAAATCGACAGTGGAATACTTAGCTATAGAGAGGTGCCGAAGCAATGATGCAAAAGATAAAACGAGGACAAACAGAGCAACCCATTTTATCTTAGATTTGAATGCCATCTTGGTTCATCAAACACAGAATTCGACTTCCCCAATAACATCACATTCCAAATCCAATTTCAAGTAGAATTCCTACTCAAGATCAACATCCATGTAAGAAAAGATAATAACAAAATCAAAATTAGTTAACCAAGAAAGCTAAGAGGATAAATTAATAAAGAAATGCCCATGTAATGCTCACTTTGGTAGCTGGGAATCTTTCATATCCTTCTTTAATTCCAAACAAATGCCAATTCCGAATCAACTGATCTGGGCTATTATACCAGATATGCAAAATTAAAATAATGATAATTAAAGTCAACGAACCTTGGAAGCAGGGACTATTAACTGATTAAAATCCAAATAAAAAATCGATCATGAAAATATTTTCTGGGGAAAAAAACAGCGAGCAGATGGAGGAAGATCAAATCTGGTGTCTAGAGTAAGTTTTTATGAAATATATGGGTTTTAGTGTATTGGAAAGAAGGAATTTCTCAGGAAAGATGGGATTTTTCCGGTAAAATGGAAGGAACGGAAAGAGGATAGAGAGAGTATGGCAGTGGCACCTTGTCCTTGAATCTGGAGGGAAGGTAAAATATGTATGCTGTGGAATTTTCTCTCTTTTCTTTTGTGGTGAAGTGTACTCGGATTGTACCCTTTAGAAGATCTTGAGTTTTGTTTTGTTTGCTTTTACTTTCCTAACATGAATAGTAACTTTGCTACTTTGATTCTCTATTTCATTCTTCTTCTTTTTTCTTTAAATAAATTAAAATGACTTTTTTTTTTCTTTTTTTGCTATTTTCTTTTTGCCAAGTTCTTTTCTTTATTCTTGATCTTGCTTAGGAAACACTTTAGAAAATTCTTCCAAAATGACACGTTTACATCAGCTAATTTACAAAGGTCAAAAGCCATTTTGCTACTTGCAATTACCATTAAGGTCCTTGAAATTTTCATAATATCAATTTGATCAATTTTGACTCAATAATTGTGAACGCAAAGCAATTCAAGGACAATCCCCAATTTCTGTTAAATTACCCTAATTATATTCACGTGTAGGGGTATTTTGGTCCAATCTTGCAACTTCTCCCCAACCACTCCCACAACCACCCCATAAGCCCTTGTGGTAGCTTTTCTTTTGCTTTCAAGTCTCGAAGTCCTTCACCTTCAATCTTGAATAATAAAAAATTGTGCGACTCTTTACTCTTAATCTCTAGCTTTTGATTTTGGGAATTTGGGTTCATGAGGAAAGGTTTTAGGCAATGCATAGAATAAGGGTTGGAGTTTGATAATTGAGAGATGGGGAAAGGTGATTGTGGAAGAGGGGAGCAAAATATTGGGGGAAGAGGGAGGGGAGAAGGTGGTTGTGTGGGTGATTTGGTTGTGGCTATAGGGTGTTGAGCGGGTTGGGTCTAGAGGAGGAGATTTGGTCAGGAAAGGAGGAGGTTTGTTTGGGAAGGGAGAAAGGATGAGAGAAGGTGGTTGTTGGGGTGGTTGTGGAGGGGCTTTAAGATTGGACCAAAATGCCCCTCTATGTGTACAAAAATTAGAGTAATTTGACAGAAAATTGGAGATTGTCTTTAAATTGCTTGGAATTCAAACTACATGGACAAAATTGATCACATTCGAACTACAAGGACCTAAGTGGTAAACTACAGGGGCCTACAATGATTTTTTTACTATTCAAAAAAGGAGAAAATTTAGTTTTGGTCATTATAGTTTGTTGGTTTTACCACTTTGGTCCACATAGTTTCAATTTTGTTAAATTTATCCTTATAGTTTCACTTCTACGCAATTTAAGGACACGTTTCAATTTTTGTCAAATTCGTCCAAATTCCGTTGTTTTGACCAAGTGCCCCTCATGTGGAGAGATTTCAATTCACTCAAGCCATCTAAATGTAAAACACAAGCTCAAGCTCTTCTTATACACTACAAGCACGATAGAGTTTTTAAATTTTTTGCATCTCTTGGTTAAAATTTGAGTGAATTGAGAGGAACTTGGATAGGTTCATAAATATATTCATTTATATGCTCTTTTTTTAAGGATAATTTGTTGTAAAAAATGACTTTTGCTTTATTTTCTTCATTTCAACTTCCAGAGCACTTAATTGGGTTTCAATAGACGTAGGACTTTTTGGTGGAATTTGTGTGCAAAGCCAGTTGGAAAGCGAAGTTAAGACCTTGAAGATACTTGTGTAATTGTTCTAGAATTTTTGGAGGAGCCAATTATAGCAATTTTTCAAGTCAAGTCAACTTAGGGTGAAATTCTGATTCAGAGATGAGGATAACAATATCATTCTTGGCCTGTCACTAACAGGGGAATTTTAAAATTTAGGGATCCTACCACCCCCGATTTTGCCTGAAATATCCTCCCATTAGGGTCGGAGACCCGACCCATTGGGGATTTTTACCATCCGTAAACCTTATGTGGCTGTTGGAGATAAACCTTGTGTGTTTGATGTTGCCGATGTATTTCTATGTAAATTATAACACAACACTTGCCACTCTAGTGGTGAGGTGTTATAATTCAATGTTGGAGGTCAGGGATTCGACCGATTTGCTTGGTTCACGGTTTGAAATACTAAGCCCTAGTTAAGGCTTTGAGTTAATAAAACGTGTACCATTGAATTAATCCAACAGCTCTTGTGAAGTAGTTTCTCAGAGTCCCTCATTTTATGTTCCATAGGTAAGCGGGACAGTGAAAGCTTCTGAGTTTTAAGTTCCTTTTTAAAAGATTGTCATTTTCTTCTGTTCAAAGAAGGATAGAAAAGAGGAAGGAAGAAATTTTAAGCTAGAGGCATTTATAAAAAATCTCTATAGTTTTTTCTTATTTATTGGAAGTGAATTACAAATCAAAACATGGCCTCAGAAAATTACAAATCAGAACAAAGCCAGATTTTGAGGTTTAAGCTTGTAAGCTACGTTTACTATAAAAGAATATAACTATAAAAGAAATATATACATGAAGAAATCCAATTGAAATGGACAGAATCATGTAAAATGATTTGCTGATTTAGAATTTTCAAAAATTACTTGAGGTAACTGTCAAAAAACTTCGTCGTAGCCACAACTCGTACATAACCATGTAAAAAGCATCATAATCAATAGGAGAAAGATGCCATTGGAAATGTTTGCGCACCTTCAACACATTGCTTTGTAACCACGTATATTCCTCAGAGCTGATCCCTTTAAGGATTTTCTTAAGCAATGGGATATCTAGAGTGGCAACAATCACTGAGAAGCTCTTCCAGTTTAGTATGTCTGCGAATGGTAAATCATAGTAGTTGGCAATTATCACCGGGACACAACCATAATATAATGAATCTGCAATACGAGCTGTATTCACTTCAAAGCCTTTAACATGGAGGCAGAACTTGCTACCAAGCAGCTCATCCGCATAAGGTGTGGTAAGCCGACCAAAGTGTGCAAAAATCTCAGAGTCATTTCTCCACACTTGAAGAAGCTTTTCCCGTACTGGGGAGTTAATTCCTCCAGCAAAGAACGCAAGTTTTGTTCTGCACGTTTGTTTTTTTTATCAAAGGAAGAAAAATGAGTTCCAGTTCATGTAGAGATCAAGCAACATATTTCCAAAACATGCTTAAAGTTACAAATGCGCTATTCATTAAATGTTAAATTGTATTCTATCAAACACTTCCTTTTGGAGGCAAAAGGAAAAGATGAGCATACTTTCAAATTTTCACCCAGAGAAGGTCAATGATACAGCAATTCTGTTCACTCAAAGTCTTTTCTTCCTATGTCATAATTTTACGCTGCTATATCCAGTTAACATGATTCCCATCAGCTATCGGGAACCAAAAATGTTCACAAGTGTATGATCTAGGAATTTAACATTATGCAAAGCCACAAAGGTATACTCAAATGCCTGGCACAAGTAAACATCAGTTTCCAAGAAAAAGAAGAGAACATTTACATTGTAGTTTTACAAACCTGGCCTCGATTAGAAATTTATTTTCTTAGACATAAGAAATGATATAATTCAACCAAAACACTCTGACTTCCTCTGCATCACCTCATCATCATCATGCAGGCCCAAAACCCAAAGGGTGAAGAAACGATGAAAGAGGGGTACAGGCGCAATCAGAATAGTGCACATAGTTGAACATACGTATATTTAACCTTGTGGTTCATACCAACTATCTATCATATTACCAACTATCTTCTATGAGCTATAATTCAGCAGCATATTTTGAAAAGGAAACAGCCCAGCTGATAGAAACTACCAAAATAAATTTATAAAGAGAACATTGCATTTATTACTGCAAGATGAGTGCAACCCACCAATCTGAGAGAACTGCTACCCACACATCAGTAGATATCAAGGAGACTCAAAAGGATGCAAGGAAAAACTCACTTTTGATGAAGGTCTTGACTGATCATATTAAAAAATGCAACACTAAAAAGCAATATTAAGAAAAGAAGAAAAAAGAATCACTTTTTCATGCTTGCTTCTCCAAAATCTAATATTAACTATGGAAAATATAAGAACATGCTTTAACAAAAGAGAAATAGCAATGGACGAAAGTATATCCACCTATTTGATGAAAGAAGGTCATGTGGCTCTTCTTTTCTCGGCCATATTTGTGGCAGACATGCATCCTTGTGTGGTATGTAACCAGGAAGGAAGTAGCTTGAAGAGCACACAACTTGAATGGCATTAAATTTCACTTCACTTGCTTTTTCCATGGCTGACCGCCCAATAGAATGACAAGCAACATAAAAGTGATCTGCTCCACCTGTCCGGTTCCAATATTGGTACTTCTGACTAACATTGAATATGTAATCTCTTATAAAATCTTGGATACCTCCCACACCAACTCTAGGGTCATGTCGCAACCTTGCAATTGAGAAAGGCAGAAAGAAAAGATCTGCCTTGGTTGGATCATTTGTGATGAAATGACTTTTCATAAGGACCTTCTTGAAGAAACTTTCACTTGCATAATTACCCCCAGGTTCAGAATCCACAGGCAAAAGTGCATTTGCAAAGGAATCATCTTGCCTGTGAGGATAAACATATATCTTAAAGCTCCTTTTCATTTCTTTATAGTCTTCCAGAAAGATATGTCTATCATGGAACACCTCGTTGTTATTGACATGATTTCCTGGACCATAAAAACGAACGGTTTCCAGATACTGAAATTAAAAACATGAAAGTTAACAGAAACTTTCTCTAACCTGCCACTCACCCACCCATGCCAAAAGTTGTTTTTGTTAACATATTCAGGTGAACACCTTTGAGAAGTCCCACATCCAACAATCAATAGCAAGGACAAATATCTTTTAATTGGACATCTTCACATGGATCCGCTAAAATCTTTCCAACCTCCTAATTAGATTCAACTTATGATATATAATCCGAGAACCATCAAATGCATTAGTAGATTGTGCTGTAACCACCGAGCAGACTGCATGTATTAAAAATTTTTGTGGAAAGAAGCAATGTATCAATTCAATGCTAAGGGTACTTAGTTGTGTAACTGTACAAGACCTTATGCAATAGAAGTAGGACAAGTCCATGATCCTGTGTCCTGGTTAGATGAAAGACAAAACTATCGACTCCAGGATTTTCTTAAAGCATGTCATTTTTTGCTAATCATTCTTTGGCGCTGTTCATGCTGTATTCAATTGGTAAATTCTTCAAGCCTATACTTTTTATT